ATATAAAAGTAAGAAAACGACTTTATTTAAAAAACTTTATTTATAATGATATATATATTTATATATATCATGCTTTATACAGTGTCATAAATGCTAATAGGTTGGCACAGTACCCATAATATATGTCTTTGGTACATGAAACAATTAGTCTTTCTTTAGAGCCACCTCAGTTTTACGCCTAAACTTAGATGCTACGGAAATTATAATGAATACACCAATTGTCATACTGCCAAGCTTCATTACCCACGGATTTTCACGAAGAAAATTTGCAATCATTTGTACAAGATCGTCACTAAAACGTAATATAATCATATGTATATTAATGTCCATGTATACAAGGCTGAAGCTACTGAAAAATGTGTTCAACTTACAATGGGCTTTGCGGTACGGGAACAATCTCGGCACGCGCGTTTCTGTACCATTCTTTTGCAAATGATACAAAAGAGTTAATGTCATATTTTGGGATCTGATAGCGATACATTTTACCATGTCTAAAGCTGCAAGTACAAAATAAATTATGTTAAAAAACATAATACCAAATTGTGTCATTAATTCCATTTTTCGCATTAACATTCTTACAATATAAATGCAGGGGCGTCAAAGACATTAAATCGTCTTGCTGTGGAAGCTCCAGTTGTATATTTATCAATTCGTGCTACATTAAGCTTTTGCTTAAGTTTTGCACCCACAGCTTCCCACCTTGCAATCATTCTAACACATTCTACACAGTCAGTGCTATAGCTATTTAAAGAAAGAGTACATTAAATATCCATAATGCAAGATACATTAAATATTCAAGTAAACTGAAACTTACAACATAACAAACCAGTCTCCAGCTGCAGCTCCACTACTTGCTTGAGTTAAATGTTCAAATGTATCATCTGTCAGTTCCTTTACTGTAGGTTCCTTATTTTCAGTGAACATAATGAAAATTTCCTCATCATTTAATGGGCCTATATAAGAAATGAAACATAAATTGACAAATTAATAGGAGTGTTGTTTATCAAAATAAATTTCTCTGAGTGTTTCTGTTTGTACCATCATAAAGTAAAGGCATTCCATGTCTAAAAAATACAAGTGCTGGTTCTTTATTAGCACTATAAAGTCGAAGCAACTGACTATCCACAGCTTTAATAACCCAAGCAGACAACGAATTCACCAAATCCTCTCTTAAATGTATCATCTCATTCTCATAGTTATCACATGCTTCGCAATCTTTATTTGCTGTAAATATTAAATATACAATAAAATTATCGATATTGTAAAAAATATTACACATATGAATTATTAGCTTAAAAAATTATAATTGATTCCATATAAAAATGAAAGAATAGAAAGTTTAAACGAATAACAGGTTTCAATGAGTAGGTTATGCCAAAATCTCTGACAGTGAATGAAGTTGAATGAATTTTTCATTGGAAAAATTGTATTTTTATAATTTTTCATAACTTCGTTTAATATTACTTGGCGCTTAGAAAGTCTTTGCAGTCAGATGAAAAGAAAAACGTGTATACATATGAATCAAAACTCACTGAAAAGCACGACCACATATTTCTCCGTTTTTATTAGATTTATGAGCTCTTCATCGCTCACTGTTTCAAGGCTGGCAGAGTGAACGCCAGCGAAACCACATATGAACATGAAAAATATTATTCGTAACATTTCGTATCGAATTAGATCAACAATATTGCGCGAAGAATATTTTCACCGGCTGTTCGTACACGTTCAAAGAGGTTAAGGTCCATCTATCCACCTCATCATCTTTCATCCTATTCTACTGAGACTGTCTGGAACTAAAGAAATACTATTTTATTCTCGACATTACTCTTTAAAGTCTGCTTTTAAGTTCATTATTTTATCGTTCATTGTACTGTAAGAATTATTTTATTTCATTTAATACAAAGCAGGTATAGCGTCAGAATTCAAAGTACTTTGTGTTTAAAAACAGCAAAGCGATTTCCAGATGTTCGTGTTTTAATTTAATTGATTAAAAGTCGAAGTAGCCAGTGTAAAGATTGCAATAATAAAACAGCGGCAAAAGTTTCAATTTTTCCGACTGTGTTTGAGATGAATACAAGTCTATCCGTCACGTATTATTCAAATTTTTGCAGGTAGATTTTTTCTCTAGTTTGACTACTTGCTTCCCAAGTCTGCTGAAATTTCTTTTAGGCACGTTTTTTAAATTCCTTTCCTGTGTGTGGCATAACAGCAAAGTAAAGACGGTTGGGGGGATATTATTTCAGCGAGACAACGTGCTTCGCGCATTCGTGTGTGTACCCTGAAAAAGTAATAGCTCTTTTAGCAAACAGAACATTTGCTTTTGTATAAATACTTCTGCTGCAGCTTGAGTTATAAATTATTTCTCTCCTCTTTTTATATATACACACACGCACAGGGTTAAAATTACTTTTTATTGCGAAATCGTTTCGTACTGCTGCATAAGGGGTACATTAAAGTGTTTCACGGAGAATTTTTTTTCGCAATTTCACAGTTTGCTTAAATAACACTCGAAGCTTTCCTCGAATTATGCACATCAGAATGCAACGAAGATTTTACCGACTCGTTTTATCGATTATTCAGCTTGTTCTCTTTTTGTTGAAATTAGCAGCCTTCAACTTGATAGCCATGCGTAAAAGGTCAGTGGCACATGATGGCTACACGTCTGATCACGGCATGCAACGCTTGTTGAAGTTTACATAAACTTTTCAACGTGTGCACAACGTACTCTCAACCAGATCAAACATATTAAGGAACTGCACGAATACAGGCTGAAAATGAAACGCGATAATTTCGAATTCAATCGTTAATTTATGTATGCGAGCCTACGTTACACTTTTCTCTCATCAAACACATAAAAAGTAATTATAATAGCCGTAGTAGCTCGTTTACATTCGAAATTTCAACCAAGCAATCTTCATTACATGGTTCGAGCTATTTTCTCAAACGAGCATGTCCAAATCCCGTTTCTCCAGCTGAAGCCACGTAGTAAGCTGTCTTCGTAATTTTTGCCCCAAGTTAAGGGGTGCTTCCGTAAGTCTTCACGGCCCTGGTCACGATCCAGCAGTCGAAGGTCGAGTAGGTATAGTGGTAGATGGTAACGACGTAAATCGTGACGCATATAGTGGCGGTGTACGCCGACGGGGGATGTGCTGGTATGTGCAGAAATCGACGTCGGCAACCAGCACAGGGTGGCTGACTTCGCTGGGGAGGATTCACGGGGTGGTTGGCAGTCGCGTGCTCTCATCGTCAGGTGAGCAGCTTTTGTGTGGATGTAATCGGTTTACCAAGTATTTTCGTGAGTTGCCGTTACGTGGATCGGGATCGAGCCTTGTTTCCGTGACACGGAAAAACTTCTACATCGTCGTAAGTATTAAACTTAATATTACCCTTCGTTAAATAACGCCGTATAAGCTCGTAGATAATGGAAAGAATGCTCGAGGGCAACGTGCACTTTATCGAACCGATGGGCGCTCCTTAAATATTTAAAAATTTACCATTCTTAAAATAGAAATAGTTTAGAGGCTATTTAGATCCAAGTGATTATATAATTGCACCTCCTTTAAACTAGAACTTCTGGCTTGATAGGTTCTTCCGTTGAGGATGAATTAGGAATTTCTTGCTTCTCTTTTGCCGAAGAAGTTGACGACGCCGTGTAATCGTATGCAGAATATTTTATTCAAGGCTGCTTAATGATGTTTTCTTTTTTATCACGGGAATCGAATGTACTGTGTGTTCATGCTGTTTTTAATTCAGGGGAGAGGGACACGGTGTATGTATTTGAAAGTAAAATGTTTAGCGTTGTAGAACATAACAGTTGTACCAGTACACTGTTAATGGTTTCAGTTTTAAAAAGCACTTTGCGACGCATGCTTTTTTCCTCTCCGGATAATTAACATTAGCTCAATTAGCGCCGTCTGTTTGAATTGTATCGTAACTATATTATTGAAGGATTCCATTGTTAAAATGAAATTTTTGCAAAGTAGCTCGTAACCGTATCGTTGTTTCCAGATAAAAAAAAAAAAAATGTATTGATGATATTATGCAAACGGGCCGCCTGGCGGTTTTTCATTTTACACCCGGCCATTCGCATTCCATACATTGCAAAACACTCGAGTGCTCTGAGTGGATATTTTTACGGATAAATCGATAAATGAACTTTCACATTTCCTCGTATCACTCGTATAATTTCATTAGTTTTTTTTTTTTCTTTCCAGAGGTGCGTTTCGGCTAGAGATGAAGTTTTCCGAAAAGTAAAGAAAAAATATTTAAGAATCAAATCGAGAGTAATAATAAAAAAGTGATGTGTTTATGTCGTCATAACGAGCTATCCTTTGCTCGTACATTAATCATTCCGGTTGAAAGGGAACTGTATGAAAGCCGAAACACGTTCCCCTACTTTTCACCCCTCTCCATATTTTCTGGTTTACGAAGAGTTAATTAGAGTTGTTATTAGCTGGCACATTTCCCCGCATAATTAGTGCGTTCCCTATAGTACGCTGAAGAATAATTTGAAACCCTTTAAAAGCAAAAATAATCATCTCTGCGGAATAATCATCGTCTCCCTCTTTCCCCCTCACCACCCTTCTTGCCATGCTGCAAACTGTGAAGCAAATGCAAGTTCTGCTTTCAGGCACAGACAAACTTCGTTTCACCGAAGCATTCACATGTAACGTTTAAACGTGAAAAGAGTTCGCTGAGTTGATTGATCTGCGCGTTTGCCTGGAAAAAAGGGTCATGCAAATCAGACGTTTTCAGACATTGACGTTCCTCAGCGGAGTAAAATAATTCTATAGCAAGTGCGGATTTGTCGCGTCCCCTCAACGAACCAGAAATAATGTCTTGTTAAATCGATAACAGATGATAACGACAGTGAATACCTCTACGCGCGACCCCATGTTCTTATTTTTTTTTTGAAGTTGTTCACTTTGCTTACCTTGTCTATTCTTTTCATTAACATTAATGATGCTTTAACATCCAGACAGTTCTTTCGATTTGTCATCTCAGAAATAATTCCTCTTTTAAACTTTTGGTTCAAACACTTGTGTCGTTGTAAACCTTCGCTGACTTTCAAGTTAAATGTATTTAATAATTTCATAATTAGCAGCTTGGAAAATTTTTAAAGCGATAATAATAGAACGGAACCACCATAAGAATCCTGGCTATGACGGCCTCATTCATTTCCCGACTACCCCTGAGCAACATCCATTTCATTTTCAGAAGATTCGCTCACGTAGCACGTGTTCCCTTGCACGCGATGCTCGTGATGTGTTCGTCCTTTTATTAAGGAGAAGAGACACTGGGTACCGAAATGGCGCAGGAAATCCCGGAGACGACGTATGTACCGGAAGTTGAGGAGGATGCTAGAAAGGAGCGAGAACGGCGGTCCGTTCAAGAGGGGACAGTCTTGTGGAGACGACGAAAGGAGGAGTTGCGACGTCAAAAGCACCGTGAACAACGTGAAGTATGCGTCGTAAATGATTCGTTGCGTTACCACGAGTACCTACCGTTTACGTCACTGGCCTTCGCTGACCACCTCCTTTATCCTTATTTCATTCGGTGTCCTTGTCGTTGATCGGATAAAGATCAGTGGCGGGCTTGGTGTCTGTCTACACAGCCCCTCGTGTCCTACTCATACATGTACGTATGTATGTATGTATATAGGGTGTCCAAATCTTTTCCGCTCAAGCCTCGTCGGTATAATCAATGGGCATAAGTAAGAAAAAACTGTTGCATAAACATAGATCGTTTGAAGCTTTGCTGAAACATTATAACCAAGGTTATGATACAAAATAGGAATTCCCTTTATATTTTTGTCATTAAACAGTTTTGTCTTACTTAGGATCGGAAAAAATTTGGACACTCTGTATATTGTTTCCGCGAAAGTTTGTCGATAACCGAGGGGGATTTACGAGCTAGTGTAAAAGATTTCCCGCGGTAGAATGGGATTTCGAGTGCTTGTATTCTAGTTGAAGTCTTACATGCAGTTGGTAATAGAAATTTTCGTGAATATAATAAAGTTGTGACAATAAATAGAATTACACATGAAACCTATACAATGGAAAGTATTTAGTTTCTCTGTGAGCTGTAAATTTCACCGATACCAGCTGATGTGCAACTTAATGGAAATGATTTATAGCTGGACCGGTTTTATTGAAAGGCACTAAAATTTCCAGCGAAGTGGTTCACGTCACGTCACATTTCCGGAGTCGTGTTGCAAAATCCGAATTACATTTTCTTCATCGGAATTAACGCCGAGCGAACGCTAAAAGCGATTCGTCGAGTGTAATTTGTATAAACCGTGTCATTAGTAGCCAACCGCTGTAATTACTGCATATATTTGGCCCGATGGTTGTAAGAAATATTTCACTAACGAGCGCAAACGTTTCCACATTTTAATGGAACTCACATGTACCGTTACTTATTGTTGTTGCTCTACCCAGCTTCTTTTTTCCTACCGTCGTTTTTAATGACGTACATACATCGAAAACGTATTATTGTATAATAAATGAGGGATGAGTAAACAGCGTTAGAATCCTTTTATTCGAACGAATAAAGCCACTGATAATTTATCGGGACTAAAAGGTGGTCGAAAGTAACAATAATCCTTTTAATTATAATTCTCGAATTTATTATTACTCGTATTAGATTTTTTAATTTTAGCCCATGGACCAGCGTATACTTTATAAAAGCGCAATTTTCCTTTTAAAAAGGTTGTAAATATCCATTTTATACAGAGGTGTCAGAAAAGGGGTATTATCAGTGCGACGCTCGAGTTTTCTTTTTCACCGGTGGAGAACAATTTCTGGTGGAAGATTCATACGTGTACGCGAGCGGAACCCGCGAAATGCAATAAAAGATTAAAATATTCAGAGCCGTAAAGTGCATCCGAATTACTTATCGTGGCCGCGGCAACGTCGGATTAAGAACGGCCGGAACATTAGCATGCCACAAAGGCCAAGGAAATTTTCCCCGCCACATAATAATAAACTGCAGCGTTCACCCGTAGATTACGACTGATGAATCAACGAGAATTCTGAAATCCGTAATCCGTGCCTCTTGATTCTTGCATTAAAAAACACGCCCGGCCATGGCTCCGACGAAACGGATTAATTCGCAGTCCGATGAAAATATTTCATTGAAAAATCGGGTTAAAATAGGGCTTTGCAGGCGTTCAAATTTTCCCTTTTCTTTTCTTTTTTTTTCTGTTTCAAATTACATCTGCATCGTGAAAATTTTCCAGTATGGAGGAGAACTTTTTGTATGAAAAAGGACTCGTTACGGAGTTGATACTTTCGCAAAATTGTTTCAATATTATTTCCCGCTTGTTCGAACCCATTATCAGAATGTTAAATAAATGGGTGAGCTGGTTCGAAGAAAAACTTGCCCGATGAAATTAAAAAGATAGTTGAATTTTGTGTTCGAGTCTTTAGCTGCTTTTCAAAATCTCGTTTGGACCGGAGATGGAAGAATCTTGAAAGTGAGTTCTCGACGAGCCTTGGATGTTCACTCCTTAAAACGGCTCGGACAATAGGGTGCCGATAGGAGCACAGTAGAACCAATCCGTGCTGTGTCAGACAAGCGAAACCGCGTGGTACTGTGTTCTCAATGGCGTAGATACTTCGCATTTTTCCAAATTAATTTTTATACTGTTTTACCGCCCCTTTTTTATTGTACAGTATTTTTATGATGCTCCTATTTAAAAAATTTTTTTAGCAATATATACACGTATGTTTTCACCAATTTTTGTTCTATTTTGTTTCATTTCGTTTTGCTCTGTTTTATTTTGTTGCGAAAGAACAATCGAAACGTCAGGTTCGTAAACACCTGTTTTTCCTCTGTTTCAGCTCCAGCAAATCTTGGAGAATTATTCGCCTTGGGGTAAGCCAGGAGGAGGTGCTCCTTGCGCCGCCACTCTTAGAAAGAAAAACGTCCCTCTAGAACCGCCGGAGCCACCGAAGTGTCACAATTTCGGTCAGGTAAAATTTTAAGCAATTCGTGTTACATTTAAACGTCCAAACGTATACGATATTTGGTCGCTCTGAAAAAATATTTCAACTTGAATTGGACAGACTTGTGATAATTTTCGCTACGTTTTACGTAAATCCCGTCGTTTCTGACCAGATAACCGTTGACATTTTTTATCTGGATTTCTATTCTGTTCTGTCTATGCTCACTATTTTTCGGTAAACACCGTTTTTGCAGTGATTTTTATATCGTCGCGTTGTCGATTCGTTTCACTGAAAAAGTTTTCAATTGTTAGAAACGGTGAAGCACGTGTAATGGTAGAAAAAAGTGCAAGTGTACACATTGATCTAGCGATTAACAGGGATTTAAATGTCAAGAATGAACAAATTTTTAAATTAATCTCTTTTTCACGATATTCGATTTCCTAAAATTGTAAAAGAATGCCGATGAATGAAAACTTCTGTCACTGCTACGTCTGTGTACACATAGACAAAACAACGATAAAAGCGAGCATTCTTTTGCTAATTAGCTGCTATTCATTCATTACACGTGACGCTAAAATGAAAAGCCGTAAATCGAATCTACGTCATTCTGCTTGTTTCAATTGATCATGTACCCCAATTTTATTAATTCACTTTTCGTACTAATCCCTCTAAGGGATTTTCAAATCAATTTTCTCGTTCCATCCTTTGGATATTTTCGTTACTATTTAGTCGTCAGGTATTTAACAACGATCTAATGAATCGAAGAATGTGAAATATCATAACGTTTCCATCCCTCAAAATTCTTTCTATTTGTAAACATATATACCTCGTCTTGTTTCCACATATGGCGAGATGAAACGCTCAAAATTCATTTACAAACGCGTGAATTAATCATTTTCAATCTGGCGTTTCAATTCCATGCTGCCTTTTAAATATGCACGTTGTCGATAATTACTCTCTTGATCTCAGCCATTATTAAACAAAGCGGCAATTTCTCCTTTATACGATTCCATCGTAAATAAATGCTGAATCTAAAATTACAAAGCTGCATCTCGTTTCTAATCCAGTCGAAGGTTAATTTCGTTTTTGCGCCACGCCGGCGGAATCTTATCCTTTATTCGCCAATGGTGCTCTGCTATTCCTTTGCCACATTCTCTCATCCTTTGTTCGACTTTACCTTTTATTTTCTCGTTTCAAAGAATACTCTTGCTCGTTAAAAACCAATAGAATTGTACCCAAACTCCAGGCTTACTCTTTCCTTACTCTTGGTAAAAAATTGTTATTTTCTACGTAAAAATGTACGAACGTTTCGTCGGTTACAACTCGAGGTATTACTCAAGATTTCGAGTAAAATTTGTTCCGTTCTCGTAAAGTAGCATAGATGTAGTTTCTCATACGGACGCGCCCCATCAAATCAAAAACCACACGCGAGAAAGTAGGGGTAGTAAGACCGCGGAATTCCAAGCACGAAAACCTACGAATAATATTATTCCCCGACGTGATGTTGTATACAAATACGGGCAGAGGGAAATGGGGGAATTGGATCGAAGGTTGTTCGTGAAATTAGGACGATTCGTGAGGAAGGATGTCGTTTTTCGGTGCCGTATTATCCTGACCATTACGAGAACCGTAATCATCGCTGAAAGAAGTGCTCGATAATAACCGTGCAAACGTTTGCCATCGATGTGTTTCCAGTGACGCAAGTGAATCGTTCGTGGCCCTGATTTGGTAACCAGTTCAGCAAGATCATTTGCAATGCAAAGTTTAAAAAGATAGTGCGCAGCTGTGTCCCACATACTTTGATATTTTCCCCTTGAAACGTGTGATTGCGGAGCAGCTTAGCTTCTTTGGCTAATTTTCCTAAGCGCTCTTGAAAATACAGCCCGTAAGAGTCACGTGAATGGTACCCCGTCAATTCTTTTTTTACACTAACTTAACAACGCAGATTTATTTTGCATTTTTCTGTGCAAAAGTCAATTTTTTCTAGAACATCTGTTTCTTCTTTACGTTCATAGAATATACTGGCAAAGTTTGAACGGAAAAAAAATTGGGACACCCTGTATATTCAAAGTAGTACCAATTTGCCAACTCACCCGTATAATTCTTTATATTTCTCATGCTTTACAGTGTACGATCCCTATACACTCGTATGAATAATTTCGTAATACCATAATTTCACCTCACCCCTCGTAAATTTTATATTTTCCCTCGCAAATGACTCGTACAGATTCTCTAGATGAAAAATAGGCAATACTCAGAAGAATTTCTACCTTCTCATTAGCTTTAATATCGTAATCGAATACACTTCACACTCAATCCTTGCTACACTCCTGAAGTCGTTTTTATCGTGCTTAATATCACAAGGGCATCATAGCTTAAAAAAAAATAGGGCCAGAGAGTTCCAAGATGACGATGGGCCGAACTAAAGGCAGTGAAAGATCTAGAGGGCAATCATAGTCATCGTTATCAGAGTGGTGCTGATAAAATCCGGCGATATCGTCGTCACCTCGGTGACGTTGGCTTTCATTAACATCTCAAGCGACCTCGTGCACGAAACCACCTTTTTGCCACCTCGTTCATGGAATATGTATTACCGGCGTATCGATCGGTATGTGTCTATATTTTTTAGATGCTTAACGATAACTTGTTAACGAACCACGAGATATTTCTGCGGATAATTCGCAATCATTAAGTCAATTTGCTGGGATAATATCGGCCAACCAGGGATGACGGGAGGGAATGAGCAAAAATTTTGACCGTTGCATAAATTTAGAGTACGTTCATTGAGAAGCTTATACTGTTGCTCGTGCTCTCGCGGTTCAATCTCGTCTGCTAATTTCTCTCCTCCTTTAATAAACTTTCTGTTATAATTGAAACTTTATCTACCCCACCGATTACCTGACTACTTCGGAAGAACAGTGATTAACCTCTCTCTTCGAGTGGTAAGGATTTTTTTCTGACCTCAGGTAAAGTTGTCGAATATTCTACAGATTTTTTTTTTTCTTTAGCGTTGAGAAGTTTGTATGATAATAATGTTAGAGTTATAAACGTCGCTGAATGAGCAGAATTTAGTTGACGGGATTGTAGGTAAGAGGCATTTCGTAATGGATTTTCCTTGTACGGTAAACGTGAAACATCTTTTTCGTTGCAATAATGTCGATAAAGAGAGAACGTCGACGTACCCCGGTGTTCAGCCCGTTTCCGGTCCGACCGTAGATGTATCGTTCTCCGATCACGTAGAGTTAGAAACGTTTCTGCCGGCTTCCCGGCGAGAAAGTCGATTTCTCTTGGCGACGCTGGAGAACTTCACGTCGGGGGATTTTTCGAGAAAAATTCGAGGAAAAATAGAGCGTAACATCACGTCTGCTTTTCAGGGATTCAATCATTCGAATATCGTTTTCCAAATTTCCTTTGATAAAATTAATCAAATCAGCTCGAATAGAATATGTTCAACGTTGAAAGTTGATTTATTTATTAGATATACCAATGATACGATTATCTTAAAAAAAAAAATAGAGCGCAATAGGCGATCCTGTTAAATGAGATTTTTTCATCAAGTTCGAGTAGCGAATTCATCGCGCGTATTAAGCCACACCAGATGCAATGATTTCGAGCACGTGCTCGAACGCTCGAGAGCAGTCTCTTCATGGATGTAGGAAACGAACCTTGGAAACTGCTTAATATGCTATGACGCCGTGTGCTTAGCTGGCGCCGCTTTGGCCCTGGGGTCGTCCTGGTCCTGGTGGAGTTCCTTGGAGGGATCCCAAGTTGCTGGGTGTGCGCTTCCTCGAATCTATGGTACGCATACCCTTTGGTGCGTTAATATCTAGGATTCACCATTCATCAGCTTCCTATTTTGACTCTCTCTGTTCTTTGTTCTTAAGCTCGAACTGCCTGATAATTAGGGGAATGTGTACGCTGATCGTTCGTTCAGGCCTTAATATCGACTAGATGGAAACTTATGGCTTTGTACATAAACGCTACAAGGTAGCCTAACTTTGTTAATAACGTAACCATGCTGAACTTTTTCCTGAAGAACTGCAATGCACCTAGACGATAGGTACATCTTTACTCTAGACTTTGAAGTAAGTTTTAACTCGTTAACTTGAACAGGTGTGAGCTTACAGTAATTTGTGTAAGTTGACGTTTCGAGTCATAAAAGATGTGTAAGCTATCGAATGGAAAAACTTGTTCTGATGGTAGAGTAAAGATGTAGCTATTATTACAGTCTACTTTTATATATGTATTGCTACCAGTTATTAAGGAAAAAGAAATTAATCTCGTGAGTAGTCTGATATATGTACAATACATACATATGTGTACATAAGTAAGTAGCTCATACGCCTAATCATCCTGATACCTTTAGGATGCATGGCCACTTAGCAGAAACCAAATGATTCCAAGTTATAGCGAAATGCAATCAAGGCTCTCTAGGATCTCTGTCACGATTTCCACGACTTGTACATACGCGAATCAAAGTCCTAGAGGAGAGGAAATGCAGCGACGCGCACCGTGTCGACACAAGAACGGCCGCGGGTTTTTCTGTCACGTCGGATATCATCGTACACGGTGGGCGTTAGTAAACAACGTTTGAAGTGGAAATTAGCGCTTATATTAACGTGCTTTGGGACCCACGGTGACTGCGTTTCCGCCGAGACGTGGTCTTCAATCCAGCTCACTGTCCAACCTTTGCACCTCTCCTTTTGACCTCTCCTTCCAATCCTATCCCTTCCTCGTTAAAACGAAACTCTTAATTTTCAATTAACCACCGCAACATCCTCGACACACATAACCGTGCCGCGTTACTGCGTAATTGAGCGATTTTCCCTGGCTAGCTTCCGCGGCCGGAAAGTTTAAACTGAAATTTATTAGCGCGTTCCACTTCAGGCAAGTTTACTTCTCCCTGCACGTAAGCTGTCGTTCTCACTCCTTCTGTATTCCTTCCCTTCCAAGCATTTTCGGTTGGTGCATCCTTGCTTCGTTTGTCCAGGCTCATCGCATTGTCTTTCTCTTCCTTGTGAAGCTGTTTCTCAGCATAGATTTATGGCCGTTGGATTTATGGAAGGTTTTCTGTTTTTCCTCGTAATAAACCACCACTGCTTCTTGGCTGTAACTAACCAGCTAACTAGAGCGACGTTGATGAATGAACGAAGCAACCGCGTTAAGTCGCGCCTGGTCTACCTAAGCGATTACTGATTACCCGGTGATCAATTTTTCCTGCGAGCTCTATTGCCCTTTCACGTGATTCACTCTTTGATTTATCCCCTCTTCAACTAGATCTTCTCTACTTGGTGTAACGTTTTAAGTTCCTCTGTTTTCTTTTCTCTTTTTTTTTTTGTCGTTGTCACAAGCTTCCATGAATTTTGACTCGACACTGTAGCTGATGGAACTGGCGATAGCTTCAGCGTCTAGGTTAATGTCGATCAAGATATAATTCTAATTCCAGTTTCATCAGAGTTCGGGTCGACTCCGACACCGGGTAAACTATGCCACATTTCTCATCAAGATCTACCCTCCTGACATTCATTCTAATCTTGTCGACACATTTAACGAGATTTTCAACGGTTAAACAATGTTACATCGATATCACGTTTACGTAGACACGTTCATAGATCTTAGAAGCGATCAAGACGAATCCAAGATGCGAATACGTATGAACCCGAAGTTCGAAGTGATTGCACGGTTTGCATTGCGCAAGTTGCACCGATTGCAGCAAGTTCTACCTCACTTTGAATCATTTCAGGGCTGGACGAGCAATTCGACGATCGAAAGGTTACACAACCGTGGCATTACTCCTTTGGCCGACACGGATATGAACAAGTTCCTTGATGATAAGGCAGAACAAGGTAAACCTGGACAGAGATTCTCGGAGTATTGATGGGCAAGCGTCTGGTTTCTAGGTTAGCTCGTTCCTCTAGGTATCGTTACGGACGTGCAGCTCGTAGAGGACACGAAAAATCGTTACAATGAAGAGATTCAGGTGTACGAATTGACCGGGGGCGTGGAACTGGTACCACTATTGACCAGCAGACGTTATTATTCGCAGCCACCGGGCACTCGTCATGTAACCACTGACGCCACGCGTCCTGGATATACGATAGAGTCGTACGTACCGTATGGAAATAAAAGGTTTCACCCTCATAGCACACTTGCTTCAATAGCTCACCGCCATTGTTCTCCCCTTTTGATTTCGCTGTAAACGATTTTCAGTTACCTTGCTTTCTCGTTCTACTATCTATCGGTGGTAGAATGGCAAGGTGTGAAATGCATCTTTGCTGATTTTCTGAACGTGTTGAAAGACAACGGTATATCAAAAGCGCGACGAACCATGGAGCCTACAATACAGCCCTGGTTAGCACTGTTACGGTACTCGGGGGATGTAACTGCATTACAGGTAATCAACCCATTGACCTGAACTCTCTCGACCTCGACAAGTTCAGCTGTCGGTCCCTCTGCAGCAGTAGCACCAAGCACCAGCCATCCCCCATCCTCTCAAATGTTTGTCAACGTTACAATCTGTCGCTCTGTATGCTCGTCAACATACAATTCCCCTCGTGCAACATCTTCTCAGAACTCTGCTGCTCTCTTGTTCGAAGGCGTTCGGGTAATTACATAGTGAAAAATTGGCCCAGACGGCTGCCAGCGTTGTCTCTGCTGCTGCTCACCTTTCCTTCTACTTTCACTCCCTATCCACGTTGAAATATCGCTTTTCTCCTTGCCAAGATCTCGCCTCTTGCTTCTAAGATTCTGAAAAAAGCTTAAGTGCACGGCTAGTTTTACTTGCGGAACGCACGCTTGCTTAAGGAAAAGTCACTTGAAAACGAAGGGAAGAAACTTTGAATCGTGACTGCTGGAATCTTTACCTTCTTTTATTCTCTCGCAGAAAGTAACATGAGATTCTAGATTGACTATAAACTGCAGTAGACGATAATGGGGATTTTTCTCTTCTCTCTTTTTCTCCCCCACCCCTCTCTCTCTCCCTGAAAATGTTCTTCGAGTTTAGTAACCTAACGAGTAAAGTTATTACGAGATCTCTTTGATCTTATGTAACTTTATGGAACTTACGCGAAGCTGCGGATATTGTAGTTGTGTCATTCGTGATAGAATTACTCGAAATTCATTATTTTCCGGAAGAGATCCGGTGCTCTTTGCTATCTTCATGCACCCTGTCTGATCATTATCATTGGTCGCTGCTTCTACCGAAGAAAACTTGTTACTCTTTCTTACTCTATAATCACAAGGATAAACGCGAACTTTCCACGAGAAGTTTCAAGTTGGTGTGCAATTTTAGAAAGTGGTTGTATCATCGTTCGTGTCATTAGCTAATCTTTTTGTAATTTTATTGTCATGGAAAAGCGGTAGACGGGAGGGCAGAGGTGATATTGTTTTATCGTGATGCTGTTATATACCGATTACAGATCCGAACACCGGTAGGTTGATGTATAATGAGACACTTTGATAGCGTTTAATGGAATTCTGTACGAAGCGACCGCCGGGGGTGTTACGTTGTTTATAATATGGTTGGACGTCGCCGGAACACCGCGGCAATTAATCATCGTCGATTATCGATTGCTTCATGGGAAGAAAAGAAGCCAGAATCGAAGTAAACTTTGGATAATCGATAACGCGAAATTTATCATTACTTTCCTGATTCTTTGTTCCTTTTTCTGTTAAATAAAATAAAGGAGAAAGAAGGTGCACAAGAGTGGGTTGTTTTAATTCACTTCTTGTCTTTATTAAGAAGGAAAGAACCCCCTCGTTAGAGAACGATCCTCGAGGAAAAGAATAGACAAGGGAACAATGCGCTGCTCCTATTTCCACTGACATCTCGTTCTGTTAGTGTCCAGTGATCGAGGAAACTTTGATTTTCATAGAATGACGATTTTGGTGTCGCAAGATCGGACATATTTCTTTCCGGTGGATCAGTTTGTATTTTCGTTTAATTAGTCGGTGTAGCGTCTCAGTTATGCAGATTCTAAATAGCCGGGAAGTTGAAAGTTGACATTTCGCGACAACTCGCCGACAACTTCAATTTATTCCGAAAGTTTTCTGATCGTCGCAACGGTTCCACTGTTCTCTCAGTTACTTTACACTCAATTTATACTCTCTCTCTCTCTCTCTCTCTTCTTTATGGAGACATGGAAAGGATTTCTCACTGTGGTGGAAATAAAAGAAGAAACGAGAGAGAAAGAAAGGGAGAACCCTTTGGAAAAAGGTATTAGAGTAAGAAAATCGTATTCTCGTTGCAGAGTCCCTGGCGTTTTATTTGCATAATGTGTCGCGCGTGTACGCAGCCATTAAACGGTAAATAGAGTAAGTGTCCCGTAAGGTAACATTGTGCTTATCTTTTCTGACATATTTGGAGGGATTAAGCCTTCTGAAACACGGAGACGAGGAATTATTTCAAGTGAGTTTCCAGATAATCCGAATGGATTTTCACAGTTTTCATTCAATAAGACGCATAGTTAAATCGGTTAATTTTATTGGTTCACAAGGAAATTCATACTTCAGTAATGCAGTAATATTACAATAAAAAAATTGGATATAAATCAAGAATGATATTATAATGGTTCTCTATGAAGGCGATAGTAACTTGTGTTATGGCTAGTTAGCCTCTCGTAGGCGGAAAGCATGCAGTAACAAATAATTGGCGAACGTGTTGGCTTCATATATTATCATCGTAACAAATTGCTGATATCGTTTCAAGGATCCGTGTTCTCTCCAGATGCTTTTCCTTGCTTCTTATGGCTCTCTTAACGTGCTTTCACATTTCATTGCGACGCTTGCCAACTTTTCGAACATGGCGCTCCCATGAAAATTTTATGGATTCACAGAAAGTTTATCGAACGACCGAAAAATAATCGTTCTTAAAAGGAAGAATATTCTCGTGCGTGTGCAATTGCTAATTAACACTTACAAACAGTATTTTCAAAAAGGGTTCCTGAACAGATTACTCTTTCCTTCACTGATTAAAAAAAAAAAAAAAAAAATACACATAAAAGAAGCTTTTAATTTCGAAATTAAAAGTAGTGTTCAAGAACAGGTTAGTTTCGAAGTGAAGCAATTCCGCGACACCGGTATTACCGTAAGTTTTCATACGTATCGTAATGAGTGTTGCGGCTGTTATCTCTGCCGGCGAGATCACAAGTTATTGTTCGAATATTTATACCGGTGTTCCCGTTTCTCCTGGTGAAAGCTTCACGGAGCAATTTCACTGGTATTTTCAGCTGGATGCGCAAACCAATTATAGACTGCAATTTCAGCCGGTTTTGATCAAGTATTTTCACCTACTTTCAAATGCAAAAATCGAATAATGTATATTACAGCTCGCAATATTCTTCCAATCGCCAAAATTATTCCGATTGACGTGTTCGAAAAGGCAAAATAGCAATAGTGAAATAATATCAGAATCTTTGAGGTTCACGTAGGATAATGCGTTTGTCGATAGATTACGAACGTTGGGGGTTGGGAATCGCGAGTACATCACCGAGCTCACCGATCAAGTGCGACGGAAGCGGGAGAAAGCGCTGGTAAGTATGCAATGATTGAAAGCACAGGTTTCTAACTCGATTCAGGACTAATTGCATCGGTTTTACTCGTGCTTGTTACGATTGAATCCAGTTAGAGGCATGCTTAGCCGAATAACAGTGCATCAATGCGAAAAGTAATGCCTCCAACTTCGACTGGACTGCGTTCCATTGTCAATTTCGATCTTCCCCGATGGCAAAATTAAATTACACGAACGATAAGTTGAATCAGAGGAGCCTGTGCGGGTTGTTAAGTCTCTTCTAAATTCTCGATTCCAGGAAGAACGACGGATGGAGCAGGAGAGCTGTCGCAGACATTTCGATACCTGGAGAAAGTTATGGGGCAAGCCGGGTCATGGTGCGCCCATAGATCACGCCCACCGTAACAATCTCTACAACATTCTCTACCGTCCGGCCATCTATTGAATTTCTACCCGCCGCCAGAGCGCAAAATTACCACAGCTGCATCATCTCTTTCTTCACTTTACCTCTCGCGAAAATCTCTTCATGCCATGGGAAAGAATTGTTACGGAACGAACAACCCAGCTATGGAAGATAATAGATTCGCCGGTCTACAATAGGGCGCGTTTCTGAAGGGTGAGAATAGATTTAGGAAGGATAAAGTTCAGTAAGGTGGATGGATGCCTGATGGATTGTTGCGAAATCGTCCGAATCGTTTGGAAAGAAGTGGAAGGAACAAGATGAATCGAGAGTTAGGTTAAGTACCAGGGGATGTAACTTTTAGAATAGATGGAAAATGGAAGAGAAGCAGCCGTATAATTGATTAGCAGTTTTGCACAGGAAGCTGATATTTCGCGGACAATTTACTGCTATTAGAGAATATCTTTGACGAACATATTAGACGTTCAGCTGTTTTTTATTTGTAACAAAACTAGCTCGATTTAGCCACGTTTACGTAATAAATGCACTTATCTAGAGTTCATTAATTTTTAAAGGGCTGATAACATTTCGTTTCTCTACATGATTCAAATTTAATTATACAGTTTACATAATGAATTGCGAGAATTTTATCTCGAAAGGGACAGGAATGTAACAGAGAGCGTGAATATAGCTACTTCACCGATTTATCATTAATCTAGAGACCTGCCTTGGCGCACGATAAGAATTTGAGGGATGATTTCGTCCGTCTTGGGAAATATGACGGAGGAATCAGTTCCACGAGGTAATACAGGACGAATCGAGTGGAGGAACGTGTCGGGTGAGCTATTAAATTTCATGAAAACTCTCACGGAGCACGGTCAGACGTTTGATAAAGCAACGGCGTGGTACGATTGACCAAGACCTCAAAGGAGCAATCTCGAGAGAACGTGGCTGGCCATCGAGCCGATGATTTTTAAATTTCAGGAACATCAAGGACCACGAATTTCAATACATTTATATGTGTCTGGTGTATGTTGGTCCAGGGATTTCGACTTGGAAGATCGTCAAAAGAAATGTCCCTTATTACCATCGCTACGAGTCTGTCCTGAAAAAACTTTATTGGTTACTTCGGTTCACGAGCATCAAAGAACGAAAGCGGGCAAAAAAGAAGGGAGGGAAAACAGGCAGGGCTCGTAAAACAGTTTGCAATATCGCATGCCATGCTAAACGGGGCGAGGCGGGCGTCCGTTTGAACGTTGCGTTCAAACATCTGCGCTGTTCCATAATATTTCAGGGGAAGGATGCTCGATGAAAGTTCAGCTGCTTCAAGTGCTGTCGCTACCTACGTTGCAATGAAATTGCGTTTAAAGGGATTGGGGATGGGAACAACAAATGTAGACAAGACTTTAAAAGATTCCCTCCTTTTTTTTTCTTTCTTTGCCTTCCTTTTTGGATCTACCAAACGGTAAAAGCAATTTTGTGTAAGCGTATTTGAAGGCACACTCTTGTCTGTAAGTATTAGAACACCTGATGCAAAATCGTTGTTGCAGCGGCAATACGAGAAAGAAAAGCACTCGCTCGTTTTTCGTTTATTCCAAAAAACGTTTTTTCCCCCCAAAAGAGCTATTCTTCCGCAGTAAATACAGTGCGAAATATCCGAAGAAACATTTCTTAATTACTGAACAGAATTATACGCAGTAACATTATGAAGTTTCTCTCTTCAGCATACATGAAGGAAAAATTTCTCACCATTCGGTTCGTATAATGCGATAATTAGATGTTAATTAGCGGCCAGTCAGACGAGCAGGAAGCCGTGACGAGCGTAATGGACGTCGCCAATTTAATTTGGTTGTTGTTCCGGCCAGCACGGCACAGTTTGTATTCCTAAACGTGCACCTTTGCCCCCTCCTCCTCCCTCTGTTGTCGACAGGCGTAGAGAACGTCGGTCCTCCATCCTTTTCAGGGTCTACGTTTTCCTCCCCTGGTGGTTGGAAAGCCACGGAATCCGAGCGTGTTGTCGCGCATCTCCCTTGGTTACGATCCCTCCGTCCGAGCCGCAGCCACCGAGGCAACGGCCGAAAGCTACGCTCTCTCTCCCCATTGTCTGACTATTGTGCCCCGTTACCGCTGTGTGTCCGTTCGTTTGTATAAGAGTGATTCATTTTCCGCGAAATATCAGTTCCTGCGCAGCGCCGCATGAATTGCAACTCGTACGGCCGCGTAAAACCACGGCCGCGTTTCCAACCCTCTCTCTTCCCGTCAACACACACGCGGCCTTTTCCTCTCTTGTCCTCCTTCTACGCGTCGTTTATTCGTTTCTCTCCCTTTCGCTGGGCTGCATTGTCGTGAAATTGTGTCGAAATGAGGAATGTGGACCACGCCGGTGTCGGCGAAAATTGGTCATTGCTATCTTGTATTCTTTCATCTCTACCTTTTCCTCGTTTTTCTACCACCTCGTGTTTGACGCGCATTTAGGGAACTGGCGTGGAAATAGAAAAACATGGTAACTCCTTCCGGCTTGTTATTTGCGGGAGAGCTCTTTAATTTCCGGCTTCGCTTTCCCGAGGAATCGGATCGCGGCTTCAAATCGCATATCCGCGGTGTTTGCAGTGTTCTGGTCTCTTAGGCAAAGTTGATTCTCTAGCCTGATCCTATCTTTGAAATTATATTTACCCGTTGCAATGTATTACCGAGAAAATAGGGGAATTGGCTGACATTTTTTTTTTATAGGGGGCATATGTGTGAGGAACATTTATAATCGATAAACGAATATTTGCAATTATAGAAATGTATTTTCCCTTCTCTCATACAGGGTGTTTCATACAAGTTGAAAATGTTAAATAAAATTTTCGAGAAAGTTCCATCTTCCACGATTTATTACGAAGCATCCTGCACACCGTCACCCTAACCTACCACGATGCTAATGAATCCATGTTCTACGTTCTGTCACTCGATCGCTCCAATTAAAATGGTCCACGGTCGTTTTCGACGGGTGGTGGGAAGACACGACCGTGAATTTACCACGCGAATAATTCCGCCCCACACAGAGGTATATACGTGACTGTGCAAGCGGTGGAAAAATTTCAGTCTCACCGACACGATGAGTCCGATGATTAACAACTCGGCTATAACGAGCGCTTCACAGACGACGCTCCCTACCGATCCCACTGTTATTTTCTCGCCGTTAATTGTTCGGCGTTCTTAGAGGAGGCGCGATAAATTTCCGTCTCGCGAACCTTTCCATGGCGGACGTCACGATTAATTATTTCCCGCTGCTTTTTATACACCTTACATGACGGTTACCTTTTATTTGCGGTAAAAGACACAGAGATGCACCGATACGAATAAAATAGGCTTTTTCAGCAGAATTTAATTTTGACTCTGAATACCGTTGAAAAATAAATTACATGGTATCTTAAAGGAAATGTGAATGTTACGAAACATCGGAAGCACGCAGAGGGTTGGTCCGTCTTTTATTTATATTGGATGCACTTCCTTTATCACGACTTGGTAAGTAATTTCTCTATGAGCCACTGCAGTGACTTCATTCGATAACGGAATACCTTCGGCAGCCCGCGTTCGTTGCTTGAGTACCTACGCGGTTGAAAACTGTGTTGCTACGTTTATCAGTTTCTCGAATCAGTGGAAGAGTTCCCTATCAGAGTGTTGATAAGCTTCTTGTAGGAATTATTCGTTCGTAAGAATCTTATCGTCCGAAGTAGTAATAATTGAGTAAAGTTAAAAGAATCTATTAGATGTACAAATGAATAATCCAAATTTTTCCGTGAAACTGAAAGTTTATTTAAAAAAAAATGCAGCAAGTTGTTCAGTAAAAGTATTCGCCATTGCTTTTTATAACTTTATGCCATCTATCAGGCAACTAATTAATTCCATTATGGAAAAATGCAATGTTTTTAGACAAGGTCCAATCATCGAGCCATTTTTGAATCTCATCCAATAATTGGAAGTGGGTACCGAATAAGGCATGTTGCATCGATCAGAAGAGGTGGAAATCTGAAGGAGCATTGTCTAATGAATACGCCGGATGCTGTAAAACGTCCCAACCAATACTAATTATGACGTCTTTTGTCGCAGAAGCAATATCTGGCCTAGCGTTGTTATGCAGCCATTTCACAGAACGTTTTCGTCTGCTGGTGTACGGACGTTTTCGTATTATTTTTGGATCTTGCCCATCTCATTTAACCATTTTGAACTGGTTTGCTGCGTTACACTCAACTGTTCTGCAAACTCTTTTTGTATTCTTATCGAATTCTCAGCGAGCGATTGCTTCAAATCATCGTTGTCGCACTTCCAAGGGCCACCAGGTCATGGTTTGTCAATCAGATTGAAATCACCAGTTTTGAAACGTTTAAACCAAAATGCACACACATCCTATGATACTACTCCTTCGCCAAGAATAGAACAAATCGATTCACTTTTAAAACAAGTTCTTCAACTGTTATAAAAAATTTGGATTTGTACACCTAATATTATTGTTCCAACCTACCAAGCATCCGAAGAGAAACTTTCCTAGTAAATACGTGAGAACTATCCTAAATACTTGGGGAATTTCTATTGGTAGGAAAGCGAGCTGAAAATAAGTAGATCGAGTCGCAATTCCATTCGTTTGGCCGCCCTATTCCCAACTGGCGCTAGATCGATCTTCGTCGATCTCCTTCAAAATCGCTTCTTCCAACGCTACTACCGCCGATAATTGATTTTACAAGTTTCACTGGGGAGCCTATCCCAGTCTGTTTGTAAAACGTGGGCGATAGATCGCGAAATCGCGAAATTTTCGCCGGCTTGCGGAACCCATATCAACGAGCGTGCCTCCAGTACCTAATATTTGTTCGCCGTTTCTATCGCGATTTGAACGATGCAGCACAATGTACTCTATGATCGATTGCTATCTGGTGTGCAAACAAGTAATCCAGTGTTTTCTAGTACATGTGAGGATATAATTAAAATTTTTCTTATTTGTAAAAAAGTTATTCAATTAGCATTATTTCTCACAAATATGAATTCCAATGTTACGAGTATCTCGTTCACGCAACAAACTAGACAGGTAGGAAA